TTTTTTTAAATTTTCTGCAAATGAACTTCAGGAAAATGTGCGCAGTAGACAATTTCTGATTATCAAGCACCTGCAAAGAAATTTACATACGTATGTACACACATTAGACCGTACCACCTTTTAGCTTTAATTTACTGAAATAAGGGTGGTAGGAACTAAGATTGAGACAAGAAAATCGATATATCACTTTTTATAATCCGACTGTAAATGCAGAAGATATGGCAGACGATAACCTCTAAATTCGGCCAAAAAAAAATTATTTTTTTTTTCAAAATTACTTTGCAAAAATACTTTCGATTCCGGAGTGTACGGCGAACTTTTTTTTGGCATGGTCTAATGTACGTATATACATTAGACTGTCCCAAGAATATATGGAAAAAAATTTGTTGGCAAATTTTGATATATATGCCCTCTAAATTTGCGAATTTTAGTTGAAGTTTTAGTTAATAACTCGAATTAACCGTTCATGAAAACTTTGGAAATGCGAAAAATTGGATATCTCTTCCATATTTTATCGCATTTCTAGTAAATCTGCATCTTTAAATTTTTAATAGGACGACAGGATTTCTCCCAAGGACCTCGATAAAATTAATTAAACAAACAGATGCTTTGCAATTTTTATCCTTCAATATCCTTATATATATTAAAAGGATTTAAATTAAACTAAGATTCTACGAAGTGCATTCAAAATTAAAAGTCTTGAAGATTTGCACAATTCATTCAATGAACAAAAAATAAGGTGCCAAGAGCTTGGCCTATAGATGTGCAATACATTTTTATTTTTTCGTAAGGGTTGCCCCCTATTTGAAAAGTCGAAACGAAAGAGTGCTAAGAAATCTTGAGTTTGAATATTTAAGCTATTTTTGAGATGTTTGAAGGAGATTGGGTAGAGGGATTGCGTAGGGTTCAAAGGCAACATACATATATGTACCAAGTTTGAAAATGATAACTTTCTTTTTAGAATTTATGCCCAAAAAAAATTAAATTCCAACCAGTGTGCATTGGTTAAAACTCAAAAGCACACTCTCAACATTAAATTCATTGCGAATTCCACGAAGAGCATTATTCGCACTTAGGGATGAATCGATACGAGTAAATCCAAGTACATACTCGATACTCTCAATTTACCAGGTATTTATGTACTCGATACTTTTTACTGCGATCCAAGTAGATATCGAAAAAAGTACTTGTATCGGAAGCGCTAAACTTATTTTGCTTCAGCATCTTCTTTGAAAAGCAACCCATTAGAGGAATTGGAAGATATGCGCATTACATTTCCGCAGCTATATAGGCGAGCCCGTCTATACATAACGGTTGCTGGGCCCTTGCGAGAGGCTTTTCTCAAAAACAGGTACAACTATATTACAATCTCGAAACCGCCTTGCAGGAAAACACTTGGAAAAGTTCATGTTTTTGGGAAATATAACAAAAAAGTAGTTATTTTCTTAAACTTATTTTATATGAAAAAACGTTATCTATTAATATTTTAAAAATGTTTTATGTTGTTTTTGCAATCAAATACTATACAAATAATATAATTGTTGTCTTAAATTTTTGTTCGAAAAAATATTAAAAAATAAATAATCTTGTAAAAATTCATATTTTTGCGAAGAAAAGAAATACAATTACACACTTTGAAAATGTACTCGATACCTTTCCCATACTGGGTAGGTATCGATACCTTGTTTGATACAAGTACAAGTACTGATTTGAGTAATACTTTGATGGTATCGATTTATCCCTATTCGCACTAGGACGTAACGAATTACATGGCTTTTGCGATGCTTCTCGAAAGGCGTACGCTACCGTCGTCTATTGTCATTCTGAATATGGGAATAAAATAACAACTCAACTTGTGGCTGCAAAGAGTCGCAACGCTCCGTTTAAGCAAATATCTTTACCTCGTCTGGAGTTATGCGGTGCTGTCCTTCTCTGTCGGCTGATAAATCGTGTAGTGAACACTCTGCAATTCGATAGAATGGAAGTTCAAATGTGAACGGACTTATCGATCATTCTTCACTCGTTATCGACTGGCCCGCGGCCCTGATCCGTTTACATCGCCAATCGGACATCGGAGATATTGACTAGCTACATAAATTCTCAATGGCAGCATATTTGCTCATCACACAACCCAGGTGATCCCGCTTCTAGAGGCATGTGGCCTTCGGAACTACACACATTGAACATATGGTGGTATGGTCCCCCTTGGCTCAACCAACAAAAGGAGTTCTGGCCGAAGTCAAGTGCGCAGCCAGACATTCGTCATAGCGATCTAGAAGAACGTAAGAATCAACCAAAATCTCAAACTAAACTATTCTTTCTATCGACAGAAGATCATATAATAATTGGTCCGCTGTCGTCGCGCATTTCAAAGTGGTCTCGACTAGTGCGCTCCGTGTCACATTGCCTACGATTTATTGGTTCTTTATGCAAACGAAAATATGAAACGTTCCGGTCATCTAATGAACTCAAGGATGCTACCGTTTTCAACATTCGTGCCGTTCAAAAAGAGCTGTTCTCAAAGGACATTGCTGCTATGAATTAAAAAAATCGCCATTTCTAACAAAGGCAATCTTTTGCCACTACCACCATTCTTAGACGACAATTGAGTGCTTAGGGTAGGGGGGGAAGAATCAATAATTCATCAGCATCATTTGACATTAGACACCCGATCATATTATCTGGCTCGAAGGACCAATTTTTATGCAGCTAAACCAGCGGACTGTAAATTAAAGGCGAAGGGGTTTGATTTTTTTTTACAAACGAAACACATACATACATATTTATGAAAGGTAGTATAAGAAAATATGTATACCCTACTTGAAACTGAAATGATATTGTTGGTTACGGAACAGTACATATTTGTAGACCTTTTAAAAGTTCATGAACTTAAGAAAAAGTAGACATATGAACTTGATCATGTTTGCTTTTTTTATAAAAATATAATTGTTTATACTAGGAAGTCATAGGAAACAAGGCCAAAACTTAAAAGTAGGTAATGTAGGAACAAGTGTAAAGGGAGAATTTCTATTTCGAAATGTGTGTAGTGCGGCCGCCAAAACCTATTTATTTTGAAATGAAAGGTTAGGCTTGGTTTGCAAACTTGTCTACTACTATTTACCCCTTAAGGCCTTTGACCCGCCTGCGGTTAATTTTCACCGGCTTCAACGTCACGGAAAGTGGCTTCTCATGGTGCGCCTATTCAACTTCTCTGTGAATCCCAAACCATATTTGACAATTCTAGTAGCCTTCAGTTTACTTTAGTTAAGCCAATCCTCTTTTGTATTATAACAGCATGCTGGAACTCCCCTGACAATGGGAACAACATTCAAAAGGCGGACATACTTAGTCCGCAAGCTAATCTCTAAGTGAGATGACTGAGTAATGTCGCCTGTTTAAAATGTGGTTTCCTGGTCATTGCGGCATATGTAGAGGGGAATTATAAAGCCGAACATGCGGCGCGACTCGACACAAGCCTTCCGAAAGTGGCATAAGTAAAGGTTTGCCTTACAAACATTTGAGCTCCTGATTGCCGAAAAATTTTTGAAGATAGCGAATTTTAAATGGAGTGAAAAGGTCACCTGTAAAATTATGAGGTAGCTGTCGACAACTTCGCAGTCTAATAAGACTAAACGAACACAACACCAGCTTGTAACCTCTGAGATTACAGGATATTGTGCGACTTCTGTAGCAGCTGGTAGAGCAAGACACCAGGTTTAGAATTTATGTATTCGGTTAGAGAAGCAGAGGAGGTAAGGATTAACTTTGTTGCGAGTGTTTATGTATCTAGCTCGATGGGCTCATATGGTTTATAGATGCACATAAAATCAACCACGCACTTCATTTGCTTGATATGAGCGAGAGAGAGAGAGAGAGAGGGATATGCGGGCATGTCGGTGAAGCGGTAGGGCATGATGTGACCCTTTTACCATTTATCAATTGGGGGACTCCATTGGAGGAGTCATGCTCTAGCAGCCACCGGCTGTTGTGCAATAAGCTGGGATTTATTTACCACCATGACAAAAATTACTCCGGGAGTGGAGTGTGGGCGATGCTTAAAGAAGAGGAAATAATACTGTACTTTTTGCTTAACTACCCTACATTGTTCAGACGAAGATCGGTTCTTCATTTGTAGGCAGTACTTCGAGGAGTTTGTCTAAGTATGTCTCAATGTCAAAAGGCAAACTACATTTTTGTCTGATTTGATACTACAACCGGTTGTCGGTTTGCGCAGATACTAAAAAACTGTGCCAATTGCTTGTCTCCTAAGCAAGATTATGCCAGTGGTTCATCTCAGGTACAGACAGCGCAACGAGTTGAAGGACCTATTCAGCGAAGCATCATCATCATCCAATCGCACGACATGTCCAATCCAGAAATCTTCGTATACATAGTTGAACTTTTAACTGTAAGGCAATCGCAGTAACCTAATCTAACCTATATATGTATACTTTTAATACCATCAGAGGTATTTTTGAAACCAAAAAATCGGAACTGACTAAGCTCCATGCCAGACTTTGAACACAATAAAAAAGAACGAGTCGACCAACCATTGTAAGGCTTTCCTGGAAAGATCAAACTACTGAGATATTTCAATTCGGTATTAAGGTGGTATTTTCCTGACAAAATATATTCTTTCGTTGTTGCTGGAATTCATTTCCATTTCCTTATACCAGTTGTTCGCGATGATGAAAAAAGTTAATTAACATAAAAGTACTTAGTTTAAAAATAACCATCAGTTACCACCTGCGTATGGAAAGCTTTCGAAAAAACTCCGAAAGCATTCTTACGAGATACGTTTAGATAGCTGATCATGATTTGGAATGCCAGAAAATGTTAACATTAATAAACTAGAAAATGTTTCGAAGTCCCAACCTTTTTGCTGAACTAACAAATTTATTAAATTCCTACTTACTTAGGTACTATGGACCTAAACGAATCTTCAGCTAATACTTTTTGTTTTAAGCATACAAAAACATCTCTCATTTTCATTCACTCACCTGCATTATGGGATATGTCACGCGTCCCTTTCCCAAACGTTCGATGATAACCATCTTCTCGGTATCGGTTAGAACGCGTTCGATGTTCGACGATGCGAGTACAGGACGTGCCGGCTGTACAATTGGCACAAAATCCTTATTACGTTCGGCAAAAATGCGATCGAATGAAGTGCGACGATCGCTGTGCGAGCGCTGATAGCGATGATTGGCGCTATTTTTACCTCCACTACCACTCAAATTTAGCCAACTCTCGGCAGAAGCACTACTACCCGTCCCATTGCCATTTTCACCGCCGCCGCCTATATACGATTTAGATTTGCGATATTGATGCGCACTACCGAGCATTGCCATATTTGGTGCTTTCACTTTGTTACACTTCTTACAGGGCACCATTAGGGCGGCAGCTAATAATTCACCGGCGGTAAGTTTTTTTCCGTTCGCTTGCTGTTGTTGTTGTTGTTGTCGACGGCAGTTCTTACCTTGCCAATCATGAGATCGTACCGAATCGGTGTCTGTCATGTCGGCGGCGATATCATCGCGATAATCATCATCGTCATCGGTGAGGATGCTGGGCGTATTGGAATTTGACAAGCGATATTTGTTATGCTTGCTGTTACTATAGCTGCTGTTGCTGTTGCTGTTGCTATTGTTGTAGTTGCTGTAATGGTGATTGGTGCTAAATATGACGCTGTTACGCTTTTCAATACGCTTCCACTGGCTCTTATTGTTGCTATTCGTGAATGTTTTGCTATTTTGACCTTTGGCGTTGTTATTGTTACTATTATTGTTGTTTTTCTTATTGCGACCAACCGTTTGCTGCTGTTGTTTGTCACTAGCTATTTTACCATTTTTATTGGCGTTTGTTGCCGTTTTCGTGTCTTCGCAGTTCTCCTCCTGCGTGGATGTAACGCAGGCGTTTTCTTTATCATCGCCTGTGTCGCTACTTAAGCGCTCCGCAGCGGTTGTTTTTGTTTTTAATGCACTACTAGCCGGCACTTTGTTTTTGTTGTTATTTTGTTTTTTGTTACCGACACCGCTGGTATGGGCTTTATTGTCATTGTTCTGTTTGTTGTCAACGCCATTCTTTTTCGGATTCTTGTGTTTGTTCTTTTTCTTAGCATCAATATTTTCCGGCTGTTCTTCAGTTTGCTGTTGTTGCTGCTCTTTCTGTTGTTCTTTTTGTTTTTGCTCTTGCAACAGTTGCTCCTGTTGTTGTTTTTGCTGTGCGATGCTAATAGAACCCCATGTTGTTGTGCCGGCTGCTACAACAACACCCACCGTTTGTCGTTGCTGTTTTGCCTTGGTCAATGTTGTGCTATTTGTTGTTATTGCTGCAGCTGTTGTTGCTGTTGTTGCTGTTGTCGATGCCGTTGAGTTTGTTGTAGCCAACGTTGCTGTGTTGTTGGTATTCACCATGATGCGCTTTGCAGCGGTTCTTGTTGTTGTTGTTGTTGTTGTTGTTGTCGTCGTTGAAACTCACTCAAGCACAATACCACACACACGCGCACACTCACTAATAACTGGCTCTTTATAGTTGTCTACCGGGTTGTTGCGGCTGAGTTGTTGTTGCTCTTTTGGTTGTTTCAAACTCAAATTTATTGCTCAAACTTTATAAAATCGTACGTTTTTGAATTTCGAAAACTCGAAGTTATTTTCGAAATTTCCAAATCTTAATATTGGTTAGTTTTTTTTAGACACCACGTGTCAACACTTTGCACTGTGTCTAGTGTTTTAATGAATCTCGAATTTGCGAAATGGAACTTTGAATTTGTGAAATCGAATTTCGAAATGCTATCTTTCCGTGTTTCCGTTTGTTTTTCAGCACCTCGTACACACGCGTTAAACTCTCACTTCGTCTATTATACGACTGTGCAATACCAAAAAAAAAAAAAAAAAAACTCACAAAACTTTCGGCGCTGCCGGCGTTTAACTGTGCTGTCGTTGGCTTTTTCACAATTCACTGCACACTCACCTATCGTTCGTGCTGCTTGACAAACTACTGTTGTTGTTTTATTACTGACGGAACAGTTTCCAGTAGTTAGGCGCTTTTGTCGCTGGCGATCTTTTATTATTTATTTTTTAGTTTTTTTTTGTTTCGCCCAACGTTATGACGTTAGTACCGACTGCGCAATTTGTCGCTCTCCACACGATTGCTGCCGTGTTGTTATTATTTCTGTATATTTGCTACTCTTTTCTACTTTGCCTTTGCTGCGCTTTTTCAATTTCACTTTCCGCTTTCACCTTCGCCGTCTGCCCTTGTCGACTTTCCGGTTTTTTCTACACTTATTTACCGCTCACTCGATCTTCTCTACAAACTCTCCGCGCATACATATGCCAACAGTTGAGGTAGGATGGGTTCTCCAAAAGTGAGGCCTTTAAGTGTTTGTGTTATTTATTTATTTTGTTTGAATATTTTTATTTATTAATTTATTAGTGTGATCGTAAACTTTTTACTGTTGGTTATTTATTTTTTTTTCAGGCTAATGTAGTTCGTGCAAAACTTTGTTTTACTTAATTGTTACTCTTATAGCTGTTTAGATCGTGTGTCATGGAGTTGCCTAATCTATTTGTTGTTTTAAAATTGACACCACACAATTGTTTGCCTCTTTTCTAATTTCACAACACAATTTTATAAGTGTATTCTCTCTGATTGTTGGACACAGCGCTGTTGTAATTGTTATTGCTTACTTTTATCACTTCGCTGCGGGGTTTAAACACTTTTATTAGATTAAAAGTTATATTTTTCCTGAAAAAGAGGCAGAAAAAATGTGGTTAAAATAACGATATTTTACTTGTTCCTTAAAGTCTACTCGTATTTTCATTATTTTCAAAATTACTACGAACTTCCTTAGAGTAAATCTCTCTCTCTTTATACAGCTATATGTTTTATACATATGTCATATCTGTGGTCATAAGCAATAACCGCCTAAGTGGAAAAACCTGAGTTCGAGAAAAAGCGTTTTAAACATTTGGATTGTAATGTTAGCCTTATGGGGAAACCAAAATATTTTCGCCTAGCTGGCTGGAGATAGCATATATAACTCCATTATTTCTTAAGTCCATTTAGGCGGCTATTGCTTGTTGCCACAGATATAATATGTAGAACTCCACAAAAAGCTTTTCGGGTGTTGTGGCTTTCGGTGCCTAAGCCGATAAGCAATAATAAAACTTAAAAACTTATAAAAAATAGACCGCTGACAACCTGAAAAACGATAAATGCCTGAACAGCTTATTGTGGAGTTCTACTCTAAAAGCCATAACTCTTAGAAGCTTGGAGTTGGAGTTCTACTCTAAATGCGAATACATATAGCAGTTGCGGTCAAAATAATAGCAGCAAAATTCAAAATGAGGAGCAGCATTAGAAAGATTTTGGGTATGCAGTTTTATAGCCAATTCAATTTTAGTACAATAAAGTGTAAGCTTCAAGTCGCTAAAAATGACCGATGATTTGTTTGATTTTTTTTTCTTTTTTGTCGAGGGGTTGCGCATTTTCTTGCATATAACGCATGAACAAAACTTACTCTTATATGGAAGAAAATAATTAAACATAATTTTCTTCACATTTCTACATATTTACGGTTCTCGAAGTTACAGCTCCGGGTTCATTAAAAAAAACATGATTTTCTCAAACAGGATTATTATCAATATTATAATAATGCTGATGATTATGTTTATACATAATTTATAATTTCGAAGTCTTTTAAATTCGTACCTTAAGGGTATTAATGAGCAATAGATAAGCCACGGGTGATACTTTCCAAGAGAAGCCTTCCGAGGATAATATTAGAGTGGCCCTTCAGTGATTAAATTTTCAAAACTATGCAATACTACAATTCGGCGATTGAACAATGTACGGGGAAGTAGTAGCTCGGAATCGCTGTTTAGTGATTAGACAGAGCGGGAGTTATCTTTTTGTCTAATGCTCTCTAGGTTTCCAAAATATATATATGTACATATATGTGCGAAGTATGCATAATCAGACCATAAGTCTTTTCGTTTGACACTGAGGGTGCTGAACTGATGCCTACGCTTATTATGAGTATAGTTATTTTATTAACAGATGGCAAGCCTATTGAAAATATCAAAATAAAAAAGGTCACTCTCCTATCCATACAGAGTATATTAGAAAAAATCTCGTAAAAATTCGTTCATAGTTTTCGAGATTATCCCGACTTTTCTCTATACTATGCATAGATTTCAAAATAAAAAAAAATTGGGGTACATTTTTTTCGGTATAGAGCAATCCTAGGGGGTGAGAGCATTAAAATGCCGACATTTCTTATTTTGGACCACCCTAATGATGACACTAGGAAAAGTGCGCTTGAATAGAATCCATTTTCAGTTCCAGCCGGGTAAGTAAGAAAATTGTAAAACATAATGGCGCTCTCGTTGCGGTCAGGTGGAGATTTGAAATGCTAGACTTATTAACTGACTCATGAATAATGAATAATTGGGTAAATTCCCATATGAGCAATCAATTAAAGGTATACTTAAGGTGACCATATTTATGGCAGCCGAATACGGGACAAAAAATAATTTTGTAAATTTTTTCCACGAAAGCTAGAGTATTTGAAAAACTTTTTCAATGATCCTAGATTTATTAGCCATCTTTATTTAGCATATATTTTTCGATCTTTTGTGAACGGAGCGCATAAACATTCAGTTGCAACATCACACATTTGTTGAATATTTTTCCATAACTTTGTACTTTGTGCACAGGATTTTTACACCATAAAATTTGTTACAAACATTCCTAGGCAGGGAAAGCATGCGACTACTCGGATTTCGGCCAATCACAATGCAGTGAATAGCATCCTGAACGAGCTGAATTGCAAAGCGTTCCTCCGAAGGGTTCTACTTCCATTCCATCTTTGAGAACTTCTTTACTTTTACAACATTTTCATAGTAGCCTGCTTATTTGGAGTTTCTCATGTCGCAGATACTATCCCTCTTACAATGCCGTTTTTTTGCCGTAGTTTCTCCTAATGAACACATTCTCCCTTCACAAAATTTTAAAATTGTCTCCACGCCTCGGCATATTGGAGAGTTGTTTTATTAGAAAAGTAATCGTTGATATGACCTTTGAAGTTGTACTTACGCAAAAAGTTCTTCAAAGATGCTGGCAGAGAGTTCCAAAGTTTTACAGCATTAACAAAAAATAATCTCGACGTGTTAAGATAATTATATTTCGGTAAAATAAAACTGGAAGAGCGTACACTTTTAGGGAACTTCAGTGTTTCATACAGGTTTCCGGTTTAATAAACATAATCAGTTTGAACATAAAAATGCAATTTCGAGCTTTTAAGAAATTTCTTAGGTCGCATCCCAGAATCGAGTTTCTGAGGGTATTTAAATGATAAAATTTCTTTAACCCATGTACATATCTGGTGGCAAAATGATAATAAAAATGTTTGTTTTTTATCTCCGAATTATGAAAAAGCATATGTGAAGTGCAGAACATAAACTTATTCAAACGAAAAATTGCCAACCAATAGTTTGGTTAATGTAAACAAAATTGTGGTTAATATTACCAAATCATTGTTGAAAATATCAACCAAGGCATTGTTAATATAAACCAAAAATTGATTCCATTTTAAGTTTGAATTTGGTAATAATAAAAAATTTTTGGTTGATTTTTCTCTCAGTGTAGTGAATTTTTTTTAGTAATTTGAACAACATTAACGTCTAATTTCTATTCATACGCAGTTTTTCTACGAAAAATTATACCTCAGAAACTATCTACATACATACATATGTGCTCCTCGATTCGAATCACAAACGTCCAGATTTAAAAATAAAAACTGGTTCATAGGCATGACATTTTCAAGAGCTGTTAAGGCGCCAAAATACCGAATACGGGACAAATAAGGGGCATTAAAAGAAATACAGAACATTTGACGTCCCGTATGAAATAAATAAATTAGCAGGACAACTGGCGAAAAAAGAGGGCGGATGGTCACCGTAAGTATTTGTTTTTGTGTACGTCTACACACATATGTATGTTCATATATACGTTGCTATTTATTAATAATTTTATATTGCAAAACTAGAAGAGCACTCACTATACAATAGGTGTGTTTCTTTTGCAACCGAGCTACAAAATTGCACTCGGTAAAGTAACGAAATACATGCAAAGCAACAACACAAACTCGGTTATTTATCCCAGTTCAGCCAGGTCGGTTGAAAAATACGGGACCTGAAACATAATGTTGTTGGGTGAAAGAACTGGTCTATTGTGAATTTTTGATGGGATTTAGATGATTAAAATTACGCAAATACCTCGTAAAACTATTTATTTCCATAGGGTTTTGTTATAAATCCCATTAAACTAATCATATGTTTCTTGTCAGATACAAACAGGGTCGCGTAATTAGCTAAAGGTAAATTTGATTCGAGTTTAAGGGCCTTTTGCCGCTCGTTAAAAAAAAAAAAAAACAAAGCCAATGAAACCCAATTTTAAACGTCTGTCAAGTTAGCACTACATTTTTCAAAATTGGCAAAGTTAACTACGGCATTACTGTTTGGATCAAAATTTGTTGTGAAAAGAAAAATTTGTAGCTTTCGTTTTTCCCAAAAAAATTGTTTGTAGTGGTAATTTGAACACTATCCCCCATGGGCGTAGCCAGGATCTGATGCAAGGGGCGCCAAACGAAATATACTTGTTAATTTTTTTAAATACCTGGCTACGCCCTTGCATCCCCCATTATCAATGGAATTGAGATATCGAAAATGTTACAATGGTCGCGTTCATAAGACGTAGCTGTTGAGCAGATGAGCTAGCTACGAAACTGCTGGCAACTGTTGAACCCAACAATTACGTCTTAGAAACGGCTTGATAAATATTCTGCCAAATGAACAGCTGATAAATGTAAACAAATCAAATTGCAACAAATAGAGATAGTTGCGCCGATACTATTTGGAATTCAACGCTGAGCGGCCGCCGTGTTGAAAAAATCGTTCAATGTTACAATGAATTAAACATTGTAAAATTATATAGCAAACATCTTAAAAACATATATTTAGAAACGTAGTATTATTATAAAATAGTTTAGTTACTTTATCACGTCAGTAATATAAAATATAATAAATTTGTTTGCAACTGTCACCTAACAAAGCGGCGTTAAATTTAATATAAGCGGCGTAAGTGTTTTCGATCAGCTCTTTAGGCTTAGCCCAACACGTTGAGCTCAGGTAGCGTAAAAATTTTCCGCTGGAAAAAATGGCTGACAGTTGCCAACTGTTGGGCTGAGCGTAACTACTCAACTGTGCGTTTCTAAGACAAACAGCCAACGGTTACCCAACAGCTACGACTTATGAACGCGCCCAATGGTATTAATTGTTGCTTTTTATTACAAGTTTGTGTGAAAAGAAAACAATTTTAGCTCTCATTTTTTTTAAATATATGCTACATAGTGCTAACTTCACACCATATAGAACTGAGATATTAGGTGTATTCGCGTATTCTTCCAGCAGAAAACTCTCAGCAGCAAAATTCTAATTAATTTTTATCTGTTCTCTCTCAGAGAGAGAAATGTTAGCAAAAGTACGCGAGCACATCGAAATTTTGTTTACATACAAAAGCATAAAACAGAAAACATGAAAAGAATATAAATTAAAAGTTTTCCAAGCAATTTGCAAATCAAACATGCGTAAATGAGGATTTGCTTTCTTCCGATGCATTTGCTGTTCTAATAAATTAGTTCAAACTTAACAATCATATTAATAAATTTAAATCTAAATATAAAATAAATTTCCGTATTTTCATAAATTGAAAACAAAAGACTTTGATCAGCAATCAAAGGTATCAATTGTTAAAAAATCGGTCGGTAATTTTCTTGTTTAAAATATTTTTTTTTATATGAAAGAAAGTTATTTTTTCCTTTAAATATGTTTTTTCTCAAATTTTTATTCACGAAGTATACAAATATGCATATAGAAGAAAAGTTTTTTTCGTCTTTACAACGATACCAATTTTCAAAAATCGGTTGGTATTTTTTTTTTCTTTTAATATTTCTTTATACAAACAAAGCTATTTTTT